CCAAGTTTAACAAGGATAATACCTATCCTCTTGCCGAAAACCTTACAGAGATGTTGTGAGAAATAATAAAAGAATATCTGTGGAGCCTCTGAGCTACTTGGAATAAATATGCTAATAAGTACAAAGGGCTTCTTATTAATGCTAGTAAATATCCTGCCACAATATAAAGCCACAAATAAAAGTGAGATTTGGATGAAATCTACTAGCTCCTAATCCAATTATTCTAGATGCTTTGATTACCTTTTTCTTACTCCCTTACGTTTGTAAAGAGTCTATTAGGTTTTTAGCATCTTATTTTCTCACTGTTTAGAGATTTTTCAATATCTTGGAAAATAACACCAGTTATTAACAAGGACCAAATTAGGATCCATAGATTGCTGGCAGCTCTGCATCTCCACTGCAATCAGGAAACAGTAAAACATGAAGATTAAGACTTTGTTGTTGGCTTTGTTGTGCATCAGATGCTTTCAATCTCAGAGGGATTTTTCTAGATATTTCAGCCTGTCTTCCTGATGTGCATGAAAACTCAGTGCTGTTTTCTGAGTTCATTTCCCCTAAAATACACAAACTCAGATGCTCAGGCTGCATTGAACTTGATCATCCCTCTTTCCAATTTTTCAATGAAGCATTCTGTTCTGTCATCAGGTGAAAGGCAGAAAAATACCTTCAAGATCTCACTTGCAGGTATAATATTATGAGAAACCTGACACAGATTTATGTATCAGCTTGTAATGGCACAATTAGGATCTTTATCTGCATAGGGAAACATAGGCCAAAAGGCATTTTTCATTTTCTGAACAAGCACCAACCAAACTTGGAAGGCTGTTGAAGTTAAAGAAGCAAGACATCAAGTCGCATTAATAAGTTTTACCTAGTGATGCTTTTCCTGAGCATAGAGAATGACAGACCCAGAAAATGATACTTGTCCCAGCAGGGATCCCAAAACTATGCTGCAGGTATTACTTATGTTGGGAGGGTCACAATTAACATACCAGATGTGCAGAGAAAGGGGAGCTTCTTTATTTTCTACAAGTGATAAAATCTTTCTCCCAAGTTCCCACCCTGCTGGGTAGCTGATGGCAGTGAAGGGTGGGGAGCAACAGGCTTTAACTTTAAATTTGCCTATTAATGATGTTTCAGCTCCCCTGGGTTATATAGCCTCTTTAGGATAATTTTTCAGTCAATTCAAAGTTGACTCCCTAATAGAACTGTTCTCTGCCCTCCCCTCTTCTTTCATCAAATGATGCTTGAACGTAGGAATAAGTTGCAGTCCCTATGATTTGGGGATGGAGAAGGCCTTGGTCTCATGCTGATACCTAGGCAGGTGTCCATGACAGGCTGACTGATCTAGTCTTCAAGTGTGCCCTGGTTGGACATCCCACTGTGCTCACATTTGAGATGAGCAGCTATAACCAGCAAAGTTCTTGGAGAACCAGGCTAACTCCCTTGATGACTGACTCCAAAACTGGGTCTCACTACTCAAACTTGAAGCTACATTGAGGTCTATGACCTCCATTTGGTGACCTCCCGACTTTTTTCTCTAGATTAGAGCTCAGAACATGTTTTCCTGCTTTCACTTTTCCCCTTCTACCATGACACAGGACAGAAGGCACAATCTTTCTATTTTCTCCTCCTCCATAACTGGGACATCCCCTTCAGTAGTCAGCTCAGGTTGCTGTAACAAATTACCATACACTGGACACCTTAGACAATGGACATTTATTTCTCACAGCTCTGGAGACTGGGAAGCCCAAGATCAAAGTGCCAGACAATTTAGTTCCTAAAAAGGGCTCTCTACCTGGTGCTTGCAGATGGTTCTCTTCTCGTTGTCTTCTCAGATGGCAAAGGGAGAGACAGAGAGGGAGGAAGCAAGCTCTCTTCTATCTCTTCTTATGAGTCCACTAATCCTGCATGAGGACTCCACCCTCATGACCTAACCATAATACCTTCCAAAATCCCATCTCTGAATGCCATCACATTGGGGATTAGAGTTTCAACACATGAATTTGTTGGGGGAGGGGGGGCAGGAACATTCAGTAGATAGCAACATAGCTGTGATTTCTTTGTTCTGGGAGATATATCCCCCATCCCACACCTTCCCAGGGGTAATATGATTCATGCTTAGCCTTGGAGGTGGAAGGCTTCAAGAAAACAAGATTTAAGGGGCAATAAAATACATAGCTCAATATTTTCAAAATGGCATCCCTAATACAAAGCACCAAAATTGAACGACTTTTTAAAGGTGCAAAGTTAAAAAATTGTGTGTGTGTGCATACGCATGGTTCTCTGTGTCTATGTGAGTGTTTGTACACATGAGGTAGGCCTCTGCAAAGATTCATAGGTAGTGCAGCAATCTCAGCCTATGAGAACAAGACCTTTTGAATTATTCTACCCTTCCCCATGTCAAAACTTACAGAGTATTTCATCACCTGCCACAGGTAATGGTGCCTTGAAAATAGACATGAGCTGTCAGCCCGGAACACACTCCCCTCTAGGAACCTGAATATTTGTTCCAGGAGGTATCAGGGAAATGTCAAATCACTGGAGACGGCCTTTCCAACCCCAGCTGGCCTTGGTCTGGGATAAAATACATGTTTCCTGAGAACACCTCATAATTTAGACCCTATGACAGAAGTCCCTTCTGGATTTTCCACACAGAATATTTATTCTGCTCTCCCAGACCTCCTTGTAGAGAATAGACATAGTGCCTCTACTATAGCCTATGGATTAAGCTGATGTTTAGACAATCTTTTGTTTTCCCTCTGGAATAAAGTAAGTCTGTATTTCTCTCTCAAATAGTATCCCAGAAGTTATTTTTAAGCAGGCTCAATCTTATGAAGAAATTGGGTAAGTAGAGAGAAAGTCAAGTAAATGAAATTTCCTGTAGAAAATTCCATCTGCTAAATAGTTATTTGCTATAAACTCTGCAGAAGTAAATTGACCTAACATGGTACTCATCACACCTCACTTATAACCAGTCTCTTTTTATAGCCAAAGGTGCAGTCCGATGGCAACTTTCAGCTATTCACATATTATTTATGAGTTTTATCCACATAAAATTTTCCGGTAATTTGCTCTCCCCACAAATTTTTTTTTATTGCTGATAATTGACAGATAGGTGAAATTGAATTCACATTATAACACCTTGATTTTTTGTCAAAAATATATAATTCTAAATAAATTAATTCATTCTAAACTTGGCTTGAAATATCCTAGGTTGAAATTACTCTTCTAAGTAGTGTTGTGCAAAAAGACTCAATTTGGGAAGTTAGGCAGAACTGGATTCAAATCCTGGTTCACTAAAAGCTTTTGATCAGACGAGATCGGGCGTGTTCAGGGTGGTATGGCTGTAGAAGCTTTCTATTTTAGAAGAATTTACTTTCAGTCTTATTTGATCATCTATAAGATGAAAATAATATTCACAGGGTAATTAAAAGGACTAAATGAAATTAAGCCTGAAGTAACTAAAACCATTCTTGGTACATTTAGAATATTTTTTTTCCCTTGCACTCTGGAAACCAAGTCTAACAATGAGCAGTTTTAACATTTATAAAACATAGGGGGGAGAGAAACCAAGATCAGACAAATTTTCACACAGTTGCCACTACATGATCATGCCTGAGCCTCAGATTCTGTCTAAGATACCTACGTATTAAACATAATGAGTAATGTGGGGTAATAATCTACAAAAAGGGATGGCAGATGATCAAGAAAGAACAGTAGCCTTCAGGCCTGGCCCTAGAGCACACAGGTCCTCTGCACAGCCAAGCCTGATACATCAGCAACAGACATGTCCCTTTTCTCAATATGCCTTGTGAACAGGTCGGATGTTGAGCCCTGTGCTAGATACAATGGGGGTAGCAACAGACAAGGCAGTCCTTGCACTCAACATGCTGGTTGTTTAGTTGGAGAATCAAGAAGTAAACCTGCAGTCTCAGTTTGGTAAGGTAGCTCTTGGCCGAGAAGTAAATACTGAGTACCATGAAGGAGGATTTCTAGGAGGAAGTGGTATCCAAGCTATGACCTAAAGATTAGAGATGATCCTAAAGTTACAAATGCCATTCCAGACATGAGTCACCTACTTAGTTTTCTGTATAGTTTGATTCAAAACTTCTGCTCTTGTTATGTTCTCTCTTTCTTAGTTATTTTTGTACTGAATCTAATCTTAATTTTAGATTAGAACCAGTTTGTTTACTTTCCCAATGATTTGCAGTTGCATATAAAGTTAGTTACTAAACTACTGGTTACTTAGTTGAATTCCTTAGAAGTCACTGGACCCTGAATCAGCTGCACATTCATCTAAGTGTAGACTGTAGAAATTGCCCTTATGGTGAAATAATATCATGCACATACTATAGCACAAAGCATGCACTAGTTTTTTTAAGTTTGTTTAAAATTAATGCCCAGTTCAATGGATTCAGATGGCAGGTTCAAAATATGATTTTAAAATGGCTAAGAATATATACACATTTATCTTGTAGAGCTTATATAATTTGTACTTGTATAAATAAACTAGGAACATGTTTGTTTATCTGGAGTCTTTTTAATGTAATTTGCAGAAACTTAATTCAAATTAGCTTAAACAATGAAAGAGAACTTATCAAATCAGATATGGCTGGATCCAGGTTTTCAGACATTGCATTGCTGTTCTTTCTCTCTCTCTTTCCTCTCTACTTCCTCCCTTCATCCATCCACCTCTTGGTTCTGCTTTCTCTTATCACAAGATAGCAAAAATAGTCCCCAGCAACTCAGTGCAGATCTTACGTCATCCTTTTTTAAGAAAAAAAAAAAACAAGGCCTCCTTTCCAACAAAATCCGGAAAAATTCCGAAGGTGACTATGATTAGCTAAATTTGGGTCATGTGCTCATCTATGAACAATCACAAAAGCAGAAAGGGAGTAACTTAAGATTGAGTCACAGACCCACCATTATGACAGGGGAGGCACCTGCTAGTAACCAACATCTTCACCAGGTTGGAAGGGACAATTGCTAAAAGAGGAGTGAGCAGACAGCATGACAGCTATTCATTGTAACATGCAATGATCAACTGTGATGCATCCTTGAGCCTGGCCAGAGGATTGTTCCGTGTGTGAGGCCTTGTTGCTGGTTCACCTTGCCATCTTTGCCGAAGAATGAGTGAGAATTATCCATAGAACTTGTATGTCTTCACGGTCTTATTCCAGCTCAAGTGGAATGAATTTCTCAAAAGTTAAAACTTGAACCACAGGCTTAGGCTGAAATAGGAGTTTTTAACTCTCTGGTAAAATAACACAGGAAATTCAAAGAAATTTCACCTGGAAAGAAATCTCTATAAAACATATCTGGGAATCCAATGAAGGTAACAGGCAAGTTATATCTATCTCTGGCACTCAGACCCAATGAGTGAATATTTCTACTACCGGGAACTCCTTAACTGCTCACAAAAACATCCAGATAACAAAACCTAGGAGACGACATTTCATTCTAAGGGAATTGTGGGGCAATTAAAGCAGCTCCAAACTGGACGAGAGAGATTACACAATATAAATGAAGTGAAAGGTTAGGAAAGTGTGGATTATTTAGTGGAAAGAAAAGGAGAAAGTGATCTCTACATTTTCTTTTAGATTCCCCTAGAGCCCCTGTGACAGTTTAATTGCAAAAAGATGCTGTAAGCAACTATCAAAAAACATTAAGCTGCTCTGTGATAGGAATTGTGCTAGGGGCTGAGGACAAAACAATAAATGAGGCATGGTCTTGCCCTCTAGGAAGTCACTGTTTTATGGGGAAGAAAGCCCTTCAGCAGACAATTAAAATATCATATTCTACCGCAAGGGTCTGTAAAAGGTGTTATTAGAACGTATAATATGAAGTTGAGATCACACCCACAACTCTGCCAGTAAGGATATTCATCCATATTGCCCGAGATTCCACCATTAGAAGTTAATTCATCTGAGTTGGAAGACATCATCCTTCAAATTTTAAATAGCCCTGGTAAGAACAGTCACTTTAATCAGGATTGTTAGTTATTCTTACTTGGTATGAATTAATCAAACTGACCATTTCCCCACTAGAAAGAGTCTCAAATCAGTAAACTCAGGAAATGGAGGTTTCTTGTGGCCTTTGAAGCAAGGGTGATGGAAGAAGGAAATATTGTATATGTGGGATTGAGGAACCCCCAAAGCCAGACTTCCTCTGAGAGACAAGTTGGACTCTGGCTGGCCCGGGATAGCAGTATTCCCTCCTTCAATGCATTGATGTGCTGCATTGGGACATTTAAGAACACTTAGTGCTGTAGAGTGGACAGCTGAGTAATTGACTCTCTTATTTAGCTGGCCCTGGGATCATCAGGAAGAACCGAATGAACTCTCCACTGCACATCTCCTGTCTCCCCAGCCAAGGTGACAAAGTATTTGAGTCCTCAAAACCAGGGGGGAAGTTGTCAGGCAGAGATGGGCCCAGGCAGACAACCATTAAATCAGCCTAGGCACACCTACTGAAACAAGCTAAATTTTTCTGGGTTCATACAAAAAGGTACAGTCCTATACCAGGGAGAACTTGGATTCCTAGAGCCTGTGCAGATTCTGAGAGACTGCAGGGATCTTAACCCATATCTGAAAGACTTCACAGACATGGGCAAGGAGTATAAGAGAGAGGCATCCCAGACTGAGAGCCAGGGCCTCCTCAAATCTTCTGAATGTGTAAACACCAGAATTTCTATCCATCAGCACGAAGGAAGGGAAGGGAGCCAGGAACAATGGCTGATACAAGACATCCCAGCAATCTTCATGAATGAGGATGAACCAGATTTGATTTTGATGGAGAAATGCAGCAGTACTTGTGCACAGGGTGGCATAGAAGAGTCCAACGCCTATTATAGAACTAGCTAGAAGTTATAATTTCACTGGGGGATATGCAAGATCAAAAGAGAAGTTATTTATAGGAAACCAGGATGGGCATGGCAGTTGATTCCCCCACATTTGTTGTAAAACCATAAAGGGCCATTTGATCGAATGTGGCCAGTAAAACATGAGGGGAGGCATGGTGGAAATTCCTAGGACAGGATTCCTCATTTTAAGAAAGAGATATAAAAAGAGATGGTCCTTCTCTGTCTTGACATTGTGTGTCTAATGTCTAGATGGGGCTGCCAGGACCACCACAGCCATGTTGCTAGGAGATTGTTGAGAAGTGGAGCTGGAACCCCAACAGGTCACACACAGAGCCACCACCTCTTGGTGTATGAGTTACGTTTCAATATTTCTTAAGCCATTTTTTTTCTGTCATTTGATGCCAAGAGCATTTGCTTTATGAGGTGTGACTATTTTGGTGTGATCTCTCTGCACTGACCACAGTTGGTGCATTAAGCATCAACTAGGACAGTGGATCATTATACTGTATAATGGTCTCTCTTGTCCTGACTCCTGTCTATTCTCTACCCTATACCAAAGTACTATCACCACTAACAATCCCTTTAGACTGTATCTCTGCTTAAATACCTGTTTCCTATAGGGGAAACTGTCATCTGTGGCAGACGAGGCCCCTGTGCAACTGGTCTTCACCTGTGATCCTGTCACTTTACCACCACTCCAGGCCATGCACCCGGCACACAAACCATTCTGGCCTTCCCCCTGTTCCCTACACATAGCCTTTTTTGTGTCTCTTGGACCATTCATGGGAGGTCTAAAATGCCCTTCCCTATCTATTCTATCTGAAATCTACTTTACCATCCATACTTATCCCTGGAAAACCTTTTCCTGATTTCCCATTCCTCTGTGTTTCTTAGCACCTGCATAATATCTACTGGGACCTTTTTATAAATCTGTTTACATGCATCAGTCATCTCCATTAGCCTGTGCATTTATAATGCTTACTTTTATGTATCAGCTTAACTGGGCTAATGATTGTTTACCAGGTGTCTGGTAAAACATTATCGTAGGTAAGTCTGAGAGGACGTTTCCTGGAGAGACAGGCATTTGAATCAGTGGACAGAGTAAAGAAGATGCACCCTCACCAGTGTGGGTGAGCATCATCCAATCCCATGATTGCCCTAATAGAACAAAAGGGTGGAGGAAAGGCAAATTTGCTTCCTAGTTGAGCTGGGACATCCATCTTCTCCTGCCCTCAGACACATGTACTCCTGGTTCTCAGGCCTCTAAACTCAGGCTGGGACTTACACCATTGGCTGCCCTGGCTCTCTAGCTTGCAGATAGCAGATAGTGGGATTTCTTGGCCTCCGTGATCAAGAGAGCCAATTCCATAAAAAATCAATCTCTCTCTCTGTCTCTCTCTCTCTCTCTCCTACTGTTTCTGTTTCTCTGGAGCACCTTGAATAATATAGTTCCTCTTGAGACCATCTCTGTAGCCTCAGTTCTGGACTCACCCATAGGAAGCATTCAATTAGTGTTTGAGGAACAAATGAACGAATGAACAAATGAATTCAATCCCCCAGACTGGGGAACGTTAGAAACATATTTTATAAGACAGCAATCCTCAGACTTTTAGGACCGGGGACCGGTTTCATGGAAGACATTTTTCCCACAGACCCGGGAGCGGGGCAGGAGGATGGTTTCGGGATGATTTAGGTGCATTACATTTATTGTGCAGTCAAACCTCTCTGCTAATGACAATCTGTATTTGCAGCTGCACCCCAGCTGCTAGCATCACCACCTCAGATCATCAGGCATTGGATTCTCACAAGGAGCACGCAACCTAGATCCCTTGCATGTGCAGTTTACAGTAGGCTTTGTGCTCCTATGAGAATCTAATGCCGCTGCTGATCTGACAGGAGGCGGAGCTTATGTGGTGATGTGAGTGATGGGGAGCAGCTGTAAATACAGATGCAGCTTTGCTTACATGCCTGCCACTCACCTCCTGCTGTGTTGCCCTGTTCCTAACAGGCCGCAGAACGGTACCAGTCCATGGCCCAGGGGTGGGGGACCACAAATATGATATCTAGAGTCCTGCTGAGTGAGCAACTCCTTCCCACACCTCTTAAGGGCATCATAGCTAACCAGTCTGCTAATACTTCCAAGCCACACAGTGATGTATTTCACCACCTTAAGCTATATTCCTGATTACTGCTAATTCAAAGAGCTGGATCACTCTGGTGGGTATGACATTTTTCCATGTTTTAAGTACAAATGCAAAAAGCTGACTTCCAGCCACAACAGGGTTATTTGTGATGGTGGTTTAACACATGTATGACACTGTGTTAAGAAATCTAAATTAGAAGCATGTTATGTAGTGATGCAGAAATCAAAACAAATATCTTTGTGTATTTTTAATAAACCAGCTCCTACATGTATTTGTTTATTGATTAAACACAAAGCACATATATTTTTATATATGAAGCATTCTCAAAGAAGAAAAATGTTGGTGAGCATTAAAATTTGGTCATGTTTTTACATAAAATGGTATAATTAGTAACATTTATGCATAGTAAGTATGAATACATGTTAGTAAGTATGAATATATGTTGAGAGGGAAGATAAATCTATTAATACACAGAGAAATAAAATAGGCAAAAACACAGAATACTGTGTCTGGGCTTTCTATTGATGCAATTTTTTGCCAGCAGCTCTGCTTCAGCTGCTTACCATTAGGACATGAACCTGGCATTCAGGGGTCTGACAAAACCATGCCAGTCTCTGGCACTTTGGAAAGTTGGCTGCAAATGGAGGTTTTCTAAGTGGCTGCTTACAATGCCACACTGGTGGCATTAGTGCTTGGGAAATACCAATAGCTAAATGCTTCCCCTATTTCATTTTCTAAATTTCATAGCCTAATAGCAGTCAGGCTGCAGGCATTGTATTCTGAAAGGATTATTGCACTTCCTGAGAAGTTAAAGTCACTCAGCTTTTGCCCCCATGGCTTGGGACACCAACCGAGACATACGGCAATCACACAGCTGCGGTAGACTCTCTCTCGTGGCTCACTGCTTAATGATATTCCAAACATCAGACCTCCCTCCTTTTATGGAGCCTCTTTGCCACAAACTCCCTTTCGCTTCTTTTAAGTCTTTTTTTCCATTTTTGTATTTACCTTATTTATCTTACCTTCACACTTCCCTGACCTGATTACCCTTAGACATAATCAACTCCTGTTTTCCTTTATGTATCAGTGGCTGCCGCTTGATATTATGGTGTTATTTTAATATCGTAACGGAAAATGATAAAGGCCAATCAATTACTTTGTATTATCCATTGTGTTCCGTGGGGATTGATTTTCCTCTATGTAATCATGTTTGCAGCCATAAAAACAAAGATTAAAAAGGGTTTTCTTTCTATTTTTCATATTCAAAGGAGTCGTATTAGTAACTCTGCCTCATAATGTCGCTGCTGAGAGAGCTGAATCTCATCTAGAGAAACAGAGTCCCTAGGAGCTGGCTCGAGCCATGGACAGGACCCAAGGTGAGTCCTCGGACGTTGGCCCATACCGCAAGTATTTATTTTCCCTGCTGCTCTTTGGAAAAATCTGGCATCACATTTATGATCCAACAAATGGCAATCCTGTGTCGGCTGCACATTTTTACATATCATAAGAGGTTCCCACATTGTCACTTTGCCTTCTCCTCACCACATAAACTGTTTAAACTCTCCCACGTCAAATAACCTAGAAATGTACCGATAATGAATCTTCCCCAGTGCCACTGCACCATTCTCTCACATAAACTTCAGTTGCCTGCTGAGGCTCTGGGTCCTTGAGAATAAATATACATTAGATGCAATGTATATTTGCATCTACAAATGGGGCACATACACATACCAGGAAATTGTACAAAGCTGGGCAAGCCGCTTGCAAGAGGAACCTGCAGAAGACTCCAGTCTCTCTCAGATTCTCTGAACCAGGTATCGGCTTCAAAAGTACGAGCTATGGACCCTAAGCCCTCTAATCATTACCTTTACATGCACGGAGATCGACGAGCTGGTGGGCAGCCGGGAACCGCAGCCCTACACGCCATAGAGAACATAGTTTGTTCATAGCGCAGCTCAGCTGCCAGAACTGCCTTCCCTGCAATTCCCCAGGCCACAAGGGTGGACTGCCCGATTCTCTTTTGTTTGGTATAAACACCCACAGAGAAACCCTGCCCGCATGAAAGCTCCGCAATGCTATGGTTTCGTCTGACCTCCCTTTTATTGCTCAAATGCCCCAGACCCTCTTCACTCTCCCACTGCTCCTTAATTGACCCTTTTCCTTAAAATAAGCAAATAGTATACGTTAAAAATCAGTTCAGGTATGGGGGCCGGGGAACAGGGGCCAGGGGCCAGGTTCAGGGCGTGTGATATCAACATTGCCCTGCAGGATGCAGGCACATCCGGATGCTGGTGGAGCGGGTCTCCTGGAGCTGGTGTCTCCCGGGCAGCGACCCCGAGGCTCCCAGGGGGCCGGGTGCAGCTGGGGCCTCTGCAGCTGCTTCTTCCTCTAGGGACCCATGAGATTCAGCTCTCCGAGGCCCCTGGCTCTGGAATTCACTTTGGTATGTGTGTGTGCCTTCCTCTGTCAGTTGCCCAGTTCAGACTCAGCATACTTTAGGGTATGCCGTGAATCTTATTTGTCCCTGTTTTTACGAAATGTGTATAATCTGAAGGAGATACCTTTACATGTGCGTTTGGAAGGTGCTTCACAAAACTGTTCTGCTCAGCCCTGTCCCCATAGTTCCCGAGTTAAGCTTGCCTCCTCCCGGTTCTCAAGCCTTTCTCTTTTGCAGCTGCCTCATCCAGGGGAGTCCCTCAGGGGCCTCACTGCTGCCTGACAAGCAAATGAAGCCACAGAGGAAGTACGAAAGGCCTCCACAAAGCCATCCCTTCTCACAACAAAGCCCCAAGCTCCCGTTTGCTCATTGGATTAACCCAAAGTCTCCAACTGCCTTCCCACAGCACCCTCCCTTGGAGAGTTCATGCTCAGAGCCACCGAGTAATTTTTATTGTATAGCAAGCAGTTGCTTAAATAGGTTGTCTTCAAATGGTCATTATCCAAGCCCGCCCCGCCCCCTCCACCTGCCACAAATCTCCCCGGGGTAGGGGGGCAGGCCCTGGCAGCTGCCGCCCTGCCCGCCCCGCCCTCGCTGGCCCTCATAAATAAGCTCCAGTGTGATCAAGGCCTGGAGAGGCCTGCAGCCACGGGAGTGGCCGCCTGCTCTGGACCTTCTGAGCAAGCGTTCCAGTGCTCTGGGGCACACTTAGCACTTTGGGCCTAGGGAGGCTGTGGGAATGGGATCAGATTTCTTCCCCAGGGAAATTACCCAAATACATTTTAAAATTTATAGTCTGTGTTGTGATAATAAATAAAAATAAAATATGCCCCCCAAACTCAGAGTTTCTTTGGCTGAAGAAGTCCTCTGAGCTTGGCTCCCTCTACTGCTCTCCTCTGTTTTGACAGAAAAGTGGGGAGTAGTTTTCCATGGAGCTGCTCCAGGACTCCGGCCTCTGCCGTCCCTGAGCCTTCCTCCCTCCCTGGAGATCTGCATCCCATCAGCCCCCTCCTTAGGGAAACTGTCCTCCTCGACCATAGACCATCGCTGACTCCCTCCTAGCCCCATGCCCGCTCCCACTGTGGCTTCTTCTTTCCTTTGGTTCTGTCCAGCCCGGGCAGAGCCGAGTGTCACAAATCAAGAGCTGCTCTGCCAAGCCCTGCACAGCACGCTGATGTCTAATAACGAAGCGCTGCTCACACTCCTTATCCTGGGACCCTTGTCGGTCCCAGCTCCAGTCCCACCGCAGCCTATTCTGCCTCACACCTGTCTGCAGCACACCCCAGAGAGGTGACATGCAGAATTAAATGTAAACATTTAAAATCTAGGGTTCCACTTCTGGGTGCTATTACGTCATCGACACCACATTATAAAATAACATGGTCTGGGGTGAGATTTTGGAGTTACACTAATGGATGTTTGTTCCTATTTTCTGAAAACAATCTTGATGTATTGAACAGGAGACGTCAGTAATCACAGTACTTCCCAATGCATCTCATGAATTGTGTCCAAGTGTAAGAAAGGCAGATTAGTTTTGAAATATCAACATCTGCCCTAATTTACTCGCTTCTGCATTATGGTCCTAATTGCACTCAATATAACCTATTGTTGTTGGATCCTCCTGGGTCTTGGAAAGACTAGTGAAAACAATGTGGAATGGATTCCATGTGTGAAATCTGCAGGATTTTTTTCCTTTGCCTTATATTAAGTTAGAATTTATAACACTCCATAGCCCATAGGAAAAGCATTTTAAGTGATATGGGGGAAATTATCTCCTGAAACTAATTTCTCACATAAAAATTGAACTGAGTGAACCCTTCTTATAAGCAGCTGACAGGTAAAGAATCTTCAGTGAGATAACTTCAGTTTTAGAATATTCTTTACCTTAAATATGTCATTTGGGCAAATAATCCAAGTCATTTGTAAAAAGCATTTTAAGGATGCATGCATCTGAAATCTCCCTTTGCACCTTTCTTAAATTTTATGTAATCTAAAATTCATGACCATTTGCAGCATTATAAAGTATTCTTGGGGTATTTGTCACCATTTGGTATTATAATAAGAATAACATAATAAGGACATCTCTGTAGGTTTTAAAAACAAAAGCAGGTATATTTCTCAAAACATATTTATTATTGGGGGGCAAAAGATATACAATTATTTCCCTTAATAACAGTTAATATTTTTTAGTGCTAGCTAGTGCATTAAGAACTTTATATGCATTATCTGTTTTGACCCATGTGGCAACTTTTTAAGTCTTATTACCCCTATTTCACAGATAGGGAAACTGACGAGGTTAAGAATCTTACTCAAGGCTGCTCAGCTGGCGTGTGGCAGAGGCAGAATTAAACCCGGATCAATCTCCATATCACAGAAGCATTATTAAAACAGAAAAACCTAAAAACAGTTTTTGTTGTTGATGACTGTTTTTAATACAGGCAGAATTTAGTGGCTGTAGAAGAGCTGATGTTTGAATATTGTTAGAGAAGATCCCAGAGGAAAAAGTTGGGCCTGCAAGGAAAGTAAACTTTTATTACCGTGTTGTTTCAGAAGACTTGGCAGCACTAGTTACTCTCGCAACTGCATGTACTGCTCTGTTACTTAATCAGTATTATACAGTGCCACTTAATCCCTTTTATGGCTTAGCTTGTCTTGTAATGTTGTTGTACTGCTGATAAACCCATTCACAGGAATAATGTACCTTTAAAAATCGACACCATGCTCTGTTTTTAAAGTAAGGACACGTCTATGTGGAAGTTTTGTATATTTCAGCATTTATGACGACACCAGCAGTAAAAACAGGGTTACCTGGTAAAGACTTGAGAAAGGCAAACCCATTTTTAAAACAGTATTTTTTACGCTATTCTCTGAGATTCTGATTATAGGGCATGAGTCCTCTTAAACCATGGCTTAAAAGCATCCAGATCTAATTTTTATCATGATATATGTAACAGTATGCCAACAGTTAAAGCCATAGTAAAATTTAAAGAAAGAAAAAAGCACCTTAGTCCTGAAAACTCACACACATTTCTTTTTCTTTCTTTTTTTTTTTTTTTTGACTAGTAAAGGCAATATTTATGGTAACCTTTTCTGTAAAAGCTTTTTGCAGTCAGATATCCATTCAGCTAGCAGTTTTAATTTCACTAAAATAAGCATGCTTAAATGGGAGAATTTTAAACATCGCATTATAGTGACAGCCTCAGTCTGCTTCCTTTGAGAATCAATTAGCAGCCAAACAACTACACAGACTCCGTAATGACACAAGTCTGTGGTATTTCCCCAAATTACCTGGAGCAAGGTAAATGGCATGAGAGCTTTGGTCACCAGGGAAAGCATGAAAGGATATACCACACAAGCATGAAGTTATTCAGGAAAAATCTGTAGGAAAAAAAAAGTGTCTGAGGCTACACAGCAGCTGTTTCAAATAATAAAATATCATTTGCATCTCTGCCGAGGGTTTTAGTTTTGTCGGCTGGTTGTAACCCATGCATTTTTCCTGAACTTGCTGCTCGTTTTTTGAGCTTAGCCAGTTACAATTAAACCATCAAGTAGGTACACTTGTTTGTTTCGGGTGTAGGAGAGACAGTAAAGCTTCATTTCAAATAGAGATGCCCAAGAGGAAAGGGTTAGAAAGTGCTGTGCAAAGCTGTGAAACACTGACTAGCAATTTAAATTGGAATCAGACAATTCAGCGTGAATAGGAAAAACAAAAAACAAAACAAGCCTTCACATATACCATGTGTGCAGTGGAGGGGCTGAGGACAGCAGCAAAGGTTTTATTTTTAGAAGTCTTTGCTAAATTCTTTATAAGCATCTCAATCTTTGTTAAAAAGAAACAGCAGATATGCACATTTTCCTTAAGGGAGCATTTTTTTTTTACATATAAAATTTTAGTAGTTGACTGCCTAGAGTGAGGCTTTTGTAACAGAATATACAAATTGTATTTTTATGGCTCCTTATTTATAGTGCAACAACCATTTTAATAAAATGATTCACTTAGATAATTTTACTGCTTTTCATTATAGGTCTTCATATTTTTCCATTTGTTCTCATCTTTCTCCTGGTTAAAATTAAGATATTTGACTCTGCAATTAATCACAAGCACATTTGATATTGAAGTGTTTTATTCTTTGGAAAAACTTGCTAAAATATCTTTCCATGAAGGTAAAGATCAAAATCAATACGAACCTTTTGATTGCTCAAAAAAGTCCTCCCTGAGCTGAACTGCTCAGAGCCAATATACAGCATTTATTTATTGAGGGGGAAAAGGGAAAGTAAACTTAGTACACAAAAGCGCAAACTGCCCTCTCTCTTTCCAATTTATAGACACGATATTGATACCCACCTAATGCACTTTTTTCCACAATGGTAAGGCCTTTTGTTTTGTTTTATGGGAGGGATAGAGGTGGCTGTTGTTTTCTATTTGAAATATCAAAACCTAAAGTCTGTTTTATGAATGGCTTTTTCATGTGGTATATGCCATGGTTTATCTTAAATCATGAAGAAAAAATATTGTATTCAAGATTGTGAATAATGTTAAAGAAAATTCTTAGCATTGTGCATTTGGACTCCAATAAATCCCGTTTAAAGCAACAGGGCTTACATCTGGGGAGATGAGAATGGTAAAATTTATCACACTATATGAATGCCTTTTATATGCCGCTTAGCAACCAAAGATCATTTGGACAGTTAACTGGACATTTATGGTCCCCCCAAAATGATTTTATCAATACAAAGTAATTATTTTGCATCTTATTTTGATAGAATCAAATCAATGTTAAACAGAGCTAATGTTATTAATGCAAGATTAATAATCTAAAATAAATTTTAAATTAGGGATTTTAGTTAAACACTGGAAAATCCAAGAACATAGTCTCTTTGTTCTGAATGTATCTTATTGCTGAAACATTCCATACATTGCTTTGGCAGCATTCAGTACATCTAAAGATTTATAAATAAAATGAGAGATTTTAATCAGAAAGAACATAAACAAAAATGCTGCATTTATTATTAATACATATTCTCACAAAATGCGTTGTAGCTTAAAATGTAAAAGTATACACATGCAAACACACACACACACACACACACACAGATGGTCTCTCTGCTACCTAATTTTCTGAGTTAATGTTCCTTCTCAGAAAATATATACTTTGAATAAGATGGATTAAATATGTTGGTTGAATTTTAGAATGCAATAAAATGATTACATTAAAAATGACCGTATTTAAGGAAAAAACAGCTAAGTTGGGCTAATTTATTATTATTCCTCATTGCATTTAAAGAAACTTGGACTAGAGATCAAAGTACATTTTGATTTGTTTGAAAATTGTAAATGACCCATTCTCAGTTTTCCAACCCCATAAAGTTAGAATGCAGTCTATGAGTACTCTCTGCTCTAATCAAGAAAGAAGGGGCTTCAGCTTCAAATGTCAATGCTGTAAACATGTTAAATCTGGAAAATATTTTCTAAGCAAGCAACCATGTGTAAAATTTACCGAACTTGTCATGAAAGGGCTGCAGCTGCAAACCTGCAAACTTCTCACTTCCAGGAAGACTCCAGATGTTGAGATGGGAAAGAGAGGTTTTCAGCTTGGCTCCCAGCTCTTGCACCTTAGAGCTTTGCAAGCACCATCTTCTCAAACAGTGTTTCACCAAGTAAAGAAGCAGTGACCATTTAATATCAGGAAAGAAAATCTTGGGCTTACTTCAGAAGGTGCTCCATGTAATTTACTATAACACTGCCAACCCAAAACACACAATCACAGATTAAGGTTTATAATCTATCCAGTTGCCCAGCTAAACCAAATTGGTTTAACAAAACCTTCCAA